AACTGTAATAATTGTAAAGCAGACTTAAGAGAGATCCAAATGAATTGAGACAGAGATAAATTTCTAGAAAGAATCATCTCTCTAATCTCTTTGAACCCCCTGCAAGTAACACCCAAAAGAAAAGCCAGCTGAAATTGCTTGTTTGAACTTCCAGAAAGTTTCTGTCAACAATTCCTCACAAGAGACCCAGAAAAAAAGTTATATTTAATCTCATGAGGAAAGGCAAAATACTGCCTGGGATTATAAATAAGTTTAGAAGGCAGTCAGAGTAAGTTATTAATGTGGAAGAGTGCTAGAAAGCAGAGTGTTCAACACCAAAAATGGGGATAAGGCTGGCAGACAGACACAGCGTGGAAAAGATGGCTTGGTCAATCTCTGTAATCTAGGTTAGGCCATCGTCAGGTTTACTCGAAGTTCCCTGCAAAGCCACGTACTGGCAGGCGAGCTTCACAGCAGAGTTTCTAGAACGGGGACAAAGCATCGGAAAATAATTTTAAAAAAATTGCAGCTCTACATAAAAACAGTGACGAGATTAGGCATTTCTCCCTATTACCTCCCCCAAACCAGCAAGGTTGTGTAATTCTTGACCACAAGCTACTTTTTAAGAGGTAGACAGAAACATTACGCAATATATCACTTACATGCAACAATCCAACACAATTATAAGCCGTTCTAAACCACAGAAATACTCCACCTTCCTTCTTACAACTACACGGACTACAGCGTCCCGTCGTTCACAGCTCAGGTGCTGCTGACCTGCCGTACCTGACCCCAGGAGCCAGCAGACTACTATATGGGAAAAATAGCTACGGAAAACTCACTCACTGTTGGCAAGACTCAATTTCTTCTATAAAGGACTGCAACTCCACGGAAGAGAGGTTTCAGGTGCCCGTGGATCAGAAAGTTGAAGAACCACAGATACGACGCGTGGCTCTAGAGGTGCCTAGAAGTACTCCAGCAACGCTGCGAGATGTACCTAACAAGCCTATTCTAGTCTCCACTCACTGTTCTCCTGCTACATCGGTATACAGGAGAATCACTTCCCCATCAGAAAATGCTTCCAGCTTGACCTGAAACAGAAGTTGGCAGAGAGGAGAGCTAACAAAGCCTTGGCACACGATTCAGGTCTTCATTTCTTCGTAGGCATTCTCCAGTGAATTACAGAGCCAAGACCTAGATCTAAGACTTGAGCACCAAAATTTAAGACACCTGCGTTAATCCCCAAGCTACATGACCTCGTATACAATTTAACATGTCAGGAGACTTAAGAGCCTCTGAAAAGTGATCCAAAATCCCGTGTGCTAAACATGATGTAACGTAACCAGTGGACAGGAAATACTAAACACAGGACCACGTCTTAAACCTGACTCCCTTCTAGAGATTTATGGTATTTCTATCGACTGGAGGTCAAAGGACTGGAATAACTTCTTCATGACAGATAACTTCAACCAATTTTCAGAAGAAGAGAGCAGGAATATTATTTTCTTTAAAGATTTGGAGTTAAAAAAGCAGAAACACTCACTATCCTTCATGTAACACCAAGAAAGCACTCACGACAACTCAATGTCTCCTTGGTGTAATAAGATCCAAGCTCCTATGTCCCACTTTGCAAGAGAGGTCCCCTGGTTCACCAACTGTAGTTTGTCCTAAGGGAAACTACTCTGCATTCTCCCTGTTGAAGATGTACCCCAAGAAAGAAAAAGAATGCAAAATTCATGAGACGCGAAAGAGAGCACAACTCTCAGCTAATGCCTAAAGCACAGTCCAGAGGTGCAAAGCCATTATTTTTGTGGGGAGAATTAAGTCACTCAGATGTGGTACTAATTAAAGCTCCTTGGAAATGTAACTGGGAGCTGCAGGTTCAAAGTCCAACTATTTTAAAGTTTCATAATTTCTTGCGGAATGAGAGTGTTGATTTCTAGCATTAAATTGCAAAGCTAAGAATTGCCGCACAATGACTCCTAACAACATCCACCAGGATATAATATGCAACTTGACTTACATAACAGAATTAAGTTTAATTTTAAAATCAGGATTTTGGTAGCAGATGAAGAGCTAACACGTCTCAGTTTTACAGTGAGGGGGCTTAAGGAAAAAAAAAGAAGCGCAGAAAGTGAGGGTGGAAAGTTAATTCACAAAAAGTGAAGACCTCATTCAGACATTTAAAGCAGTCAGTTTCTGTAAGAGATACTAGTTTGTATTACATAGAATTATGCAAACAAATACTTGAAGGGCACGAGATAACCATAGGCTTTCCAAAAAATTCAGGAATAACAGTTTTTTCTAAGCACATTAAAACTGCAGAAGGACTTTGGGTACGATGAACATAGCCTACGCTTCCTGTCCCAAAAGACTGCTCAGTATTGCTGCTGCTTTTTCTGAAGCAACTATTTGAAGTAAAAGGATTTAAGCTGCTGTAGATTTAGATTATGTTTTTCCCCTGAAAGATTAACCACTACGTGTGATATGCTACTGCAATGATAAAATCCAATTTAACTGTATTAAAAAAAATAAGAGCTTTTTAATGCTATTATTGATACAATTTTTACTTGAATTTTAAGGAATTGCTACACACAAAGGACAGTTCAATAGAAAAAAAACAGCCCAGGCCTATAAATTCTTGAAGCTATGCGCAAGCTTATTCACAGAAGTAATCATCCTGATTTCAGCAGGGTTACTTGTATGCCTAATTCTAAGCATACAGTCTGCCTCATCTAGAACTAGTATTTAACAAACTTCTATGGCATACAGTGTTCACCACTAAAGAATAAAACTTATTTTGGGATTCTGGCTTTCAGTATTAATAAAAGGGGGGAAGGTACAAACTTTTTAAGAAAAGCCTAAGATTGTTACGTGTTGAGGAACCCACAAGAGATCCCCATGTCCCCGGTGCAGGCAGCAGGTACAGTATACAAAGGAAGTCAAGAGTCAGCAACGAATAAGCAGAAATCTAAGTTATGCACATGCACTGCACTCCCCTCTACGTCCACAAGCATATGATCAAAAAGCATACAATTTGATGCCAATCCTGAAGGCTCAAAGTTAAATTTGTTCAAACCCTCTATTTTCCAATTAGCACTTTGAAAATGTCATCTTTGGCATCTCGCCAAACGTTTTACAAAAACCTTGGTTAGAGCTTGTATTTCCATAGAGGTGTTGGCGGCAGGAGAGGGACACCTCAAAATACAAAAACACTTTAATATAATAGGTATTTGACAAGGTTACATTGTGGAAATAAAACATAAAATAATTTTGGCAAAGTATAATCATTTGTTATACATGGGGAGCTTAAAAGATCGCTAGATCACTGCATACTCCTTGTGCAGGCAGCTTTCCTTGTGGAAAGCAAGGAGCAGAGCCCCATGATTGGAAAGCGGGGGAGAAACCAGATTCCTCTCACACCTAGTTTTTACTAGTCACCAGGCATAAAACCATGTTGGCAATTTCAAAGAGAAGGAAAACACTGCTTCTGATAATAAGAGCGGCTCTTGGGAAGAAGCCACAATATGGAAGTCTCTTCTCTGGTACCTCAAGTTAAGGGTATGTCTTAGCAGAAGGAACAAAGGATTTTCTGGATTCACCGTTTCTTGTACAAGCAGACAATACCTGCCCAAAAAGGCACTATTTACTACAAGTTGCCGAGTATGTACCGGATCTCTGCATCAGACTTAAGGCTGGATGATACTCAGTCACTGAATACGCACGCTTGCCTTCACATTCAAGGAGAAAATTGGTCTTTATTTACCCTGCAACATTCAACAGGCATATTAAGTAGTTCCAGAGCCCCTGTCTAATTTTTTATGACTTACCTTTCATGTATAAAAACAGTGTTCTAAAGCATAGCCGAAACGCAACTATACACTGGTAGTCTCAAACAGAGCGCAGCCAAAACTAGAGGGTTTTGTAGGTATGCAATGCCTTCACTGTGCACTGAATTGTGCAGAAACACAGAACACAACAGTACAATTACTGCCTGTAGTACATGTCACGAGGCAAAGATGTATCAGAGATCTGAACTCTGGAACTGCTCTGACTTTTTTTTTTTTCCCCCAGAACCTTCTTCGTATTATGCTAAGACCGAGGGGGTGAGAGAGGGGAAAAAAGTAAATAGTTCATTGCTTAGCATTTTCACCCTGTGATGCCAAATTCACAAAAGCTTATGTCACCGGGGAAAAGACTCCTGCTTCTTTAAACATACACACTAAGGGATCACAGGGAACGAGGCGGGATCCCTGTGGAGTCCTGGCAGAACGCATCTGGGTGCACATGAAACGCACATATAGCGCTTCAGCGGCACTTTCCATTCTTTCTTTCACCTATGCAGACTAACACGTAAGCTTTGTTTTCTTCTGTTAACAAGCGGAAACAACCCCAGGACTTAAGCTAGATTTCAATTAAACAAGAACACGTGTAAACTACTGACTAGTTTTCGCTCCACACTTACAAAAGGTATAAATGATAATTTCTCTCTTGAAAGACTAATCTTTTTAATATAACTATAAAACACACAACACCCTTCAGAGTTAAAAATAATTTTAAAAAATTGGAAGACATGCTTTTCACTGGTCTTTCACACTGTCAGAATATGAAATACACGGGAAGCTTCAGTCAAAGAACTCAAAGTAAGTCTCACACAGGTGTAAAGAAAGAAGTGGTTTAGAAGAGGATTTTTAGTTCAAGAGTTATTTATGATAACATGAATGCCCTTATGGGACCCCAAATGAAAGTGCCAGGAAATTCTAAATTAGCGATGCAGCTACATACACATTCACCTTGAAGCTGATCCAAATAAAAAAAAAAATTCTCACCAAATATATTCCTTTGTGAAGGCAGTGTCCGTTTAGCTGTTTCCACAAAGATATTCTGCATACACCTATGAGAAAAGTAGCATGTTTAATGACATCTTATGGAACAGGGCTGCTGCCATATTCCTGCCACGTATGTACAGTTCCCACCATATGCACATTTGGCTCCCACACTGTTAGAATAAAGAAAGAAGCAGACTGAGCATAAACTTTATAAACTCCTTAAGTGTATTTAATGCATTGATTCTTTCTGTGTTCTTGGGCAATGGAGATAATTTCTACTTAATCCATACGCTGTCATGAGGATTACTGTAAAGCTTGGTAATCAGATGATGTCAAGATGCAACCTCTCCTTAACAAAATAGGAGTTCTTAGACAGCAAATGGTTTAAAATTTTAATCTTCCATTAAGAAGAAGGCTCTGACCATTACAGATGTATGTGCAACTTCCCAAACTTTGGATGATGCTCATGATGTCTTTCTGACTTTGTAGACAAAAAGCCTTACTGTTTCAGCAGAGCAAACCTAGCCCAAGCAGTAGCCAGAAAAAACTGGTTTGTTTCAATGCCACTACTCAAATATTTGTGGGCAGCAATGAAACTACCCAAGGATGAGGCCAATTTCACTTGGCAGCCCAACACGGCTCCAACAGCCACAGCAGAAGACAGCGCTGTAACTATTCACCTGACGGGGCTACAGACTAGCAAGTTCTACCTCTCAGTCCACCATGAAAAAGTCTATCTTACATCTACCCACCTACTACGCAGTTAGAAAGCTTCGCTGCAGAGCTTACAGAAAACACCACAAGCCCCATCAGGCGCACACCTCCCCTTCCCCTCTTCCAGCAGCCACAGGAGGCTTCAAAATGAACCCGACGGCTTTCACATATACACACAAAAGTATCATCCCTAAAACAAATTTTAAGAAATACAGTTTGGAAAGAGTAACAGCACGCTACTCTCCAAATTAAAGCAAAAAATAAGCATTAAGACAAAACGGGACTCTCGCAGTGACTTCTCCTCAGGGCACTCCCTCAGGCTGCACATTAGCTAACTGCTAGCTATCCTACTTTACGCCTTAGATTAGTGCTTTTAACGTTATGCACACAAGCGCTAAGTGTTGTTAGTTCAGGCATGTGTTAGCGCCCCCCCAGCCCCAAGCACAACCTTTACGGAAATGTGTTTTTCAGTTATTTAATGCAAAGGAGACAGCTTACTGAGTTTCTGAAAGAAGAAAGAGTTGATGCTGACAGTACTGCAGTAAAAAAACAAATCCAGGCTTGCAGAAAGCACGTAGCTAAAAAACTATGAACACAGCTGACATTTCAACAGGCCTTCTGTTTAAAAGCCAAGTTTCACAATTTCAGATTTACACATAAAGCAAGATTGGCTTGAAAATGAGCATGCCCGTTTCAGAGGAACAAGGCACAGTCTGCAGCGGAAGATTATGGCAAGTGGATCAGAAGCTCCCAGGTACAAAGCAGAGCTTGCTTTTAAAGTTATGGTAGGGTGGGCTACAAAAAAAAGTGAGAACATACCAACTCTACCTCCAGAAGTACAAATAACAAGCATACGGCATGCAGGGTTCAGCAGTAGGGAACACACCTGTATTAAAGAAAAAAAAAAAAAAAAAAACACAGTTAAAGGCAAAAGAGGAGGTATTTCTCCTGGAACAAAACAACCATAACTGCCCAGGATATTACACCATTTTATCTGCCTGTAAGACAACCCAGCATTTTATCAGCCTCAATTAAAGAAAGTACATATCAATCTCCAAAATAGACTCTAGGAACGTTTGACGTTGGTATTCAGCTTTCACTGAAGCAGAAGACTTAAGGATTTGCAAGGTAACAAACCAGAGGGGGCAGAGTGATGGTTGTGTCCAGGAAGCTGAACTCCTCTCTTCCAGTTTTCCAGATTTGGCTTTCCGAAATGATATGGTAGGTTTTGGTAAGGCATATGGTTACCGCTTCAGAGAGGTCAAGGGCTTACTGCGCTCACCAGGACTGTCACCCACCATCTCCCGCTTGTTAAGCTCCCAAATTAGAGCCTTCCTGTTTTCTTTTCCTGCTTTCCCAGGTACGACGGCTCCTAATCCTCGTCAACTCTTTTTCTATCAGGCCTATGAAAGACACAACCAGACAGCACCTCACAGCGAGAGTGATAAAGCAGCTGCTGTACTTCCTTGCCATCCTTGCTAAGAGAATAACGAACGTCTCCCCTGGTGTCTACCATCTGTTCATTGTCTTCCGCCTGACGTTCAGACCTGTTCGCTTGTTGGACAGGGACCACCTTTTGGTTTGCTCTTTGACAGCACAGCCTCTTTCTGCACAGGGGAGGCGGTACTAGCACCGACTGCACTCAACGGCCAACCACAGCTTAACAGAACTATGGGGCGTCAAAAAAAAAAAGATAGTATTTACTGAGCAATCTGGAAGAGTAACGTGCATACAAACCAATATTAGCTCAATTCAGTATACAAACCACCTCGTACGTGCCCTGCTAAACATACAAAGACATACTGCCCAAAACAACCCTTTGGAGGAACAGGAGGCTGCACCACGCGTTTTGTATTCAGCTTCCACAGAGAAGCGGCATCTTGAGTCAGAGTCCTCGTTCCCAGCGCCGTTGAACACGCAGAAGGAAGCATGTAATCACGTCTGCGGCCACCGTCTACTGGCTTCACACAATGACCAGAACCAGCTGCACGGCTAAAATAACTCGCCTTTATTTTCAGGCCGCACCACGTAAATACCGAAGCTAAGACGAACACGAAAAGCTGAACTATCTCCCCAAAGTTCATAAAACATCTCTCCTAAAGGCTGCTCCGTCAAGCTGGGCTTAAACGGATGAGACAGATCGAAAACTGCTCCAGGAAACACTTGAAAACAGCAAAAC